GCTTGCTCAGGCTTTCTGCTGAAATGAAACTTTGTTTTTGTGCTTGCATTGGTGTGGGTCTGCCGTGAACAGTTAGTACATATTTTTGCATGCGTTTTGAGCGTATTATACATAGTATCTGTGCTGATTTTGGACCGCAAAAACCGCTCTTCTTCCGCCATTATACTATAGCATGTGCTTATCGGCCAAAACGTCGCCCATGTGTCAGAATCAAAACGCCACGCTTGCGTGTTAAGGACTTAACTGCAATTTGCGACTGGACAAAAAAAAAAAAAAACTAATTTTAACTCGGGCGTTTCCTTTGGAAAGCCCGAGTAATTATCTATAAACAGTTTTGAATCTTTCCAATTCACTTAGTTTTCTCTTGAATAAGCAAGAAGAGTAATATATCAAAACATTGAAAGTAAGAGTAAGCACATTGTATAAAACTATTAATTTTCTCATACAACACACCCATACTGACGTGATATACACAGGGGAAACAGCTTTAAAGCTGCAACTAGATGAAAGCCATTGTAGGATGTAGGGTTCTTTGATATGTTTGTTAAATCAACATTATTCAATATATATAAATTTGATCCCTACCATCTCTTAGTTCTTTCTCAAAAAAAATTATGCCATCCTTGTCCGTTGCTCTTGATAAATGCTTGTTAAAATCAATTGGTAAAATCGCGTTTTACCTCGAGGTTTATCTCGCAATTCTCTTGATTTATCGCGAAAGCGAAGTGTTTGATTTAATCAGTTTGATGATTAAAATAGTCTAGAATCAATCGCCACCATCTAGAAAACAACCAAATAATGAAACTAGACAACCGATCGAGAGCTCGCCTTTCATAAACTTTAGAATTATAATAGATTCTTTTCTCACTTACTTGCTCTCGACAGTAGCAAATTGACTCCAAGAAGTATTAATACCAGCACCTTAACTAAATCCATTGTTCATTGCTTTGAATGAGGGTGTTTGAAACGCAACCAAAGAGCATTAAAGGTACGCTTGGACGACCAATTAAGACATTAAGGTGGTCACTTAGGATGATACAGCGGAAGAATTACGAGAGATCGCGCCTCAAGGGCAAAAGACGTGCATCCCACAATCCCTCTGACTATTTGGGCGTCGGAAAATATCCGTACGCTTTCGGAAGTTTTCGGCAAGGATCGCGAGAATGACTTGCCCTTCCAAAATCGTTGGATATTTTTTGGATTGTTCTTTAAAGCTTTGCTAGCGGGATCGAGGTCGCCAGGGTCAGCACTGTCTTAGAAACTTTACGCCACAATTATGGAAGATTATACTATTCATGTATATGATCGGTGGCCTTTTGGATAGCTTGATATATTTTAACTGCAGTTAGTTTGGGATGGATTCGAATCCACTCAAGCATTAACATACTTAGGATTCGGGCGCCAAAGGTTACATTAATTATCTAAAAACTGATTTGAATCTTTCCAATTCACTTAGTTTTCAAGCAAGAAGATTAGTGTATTAAAGCAGTGAATAAAGTAAAATTTAGCACATTGTATAAATTCGTCTTTTTTTTTTTCATGCAACACACCTGTACTGACGCAATATACACAAGGGAAATAGATTTAAAGCTACAACTAGCAGATGAAAGATAGTGAAGGATGTAGTTTACTTTGATATGTTTGTTAAGTGAGCATTACTCAATATACAAAAATTCGATCAGTATTATCACTATTGACAGTCTACTTATTCCTTCTCGAAAAGACTATGCCATCCTCGTCCGTCGCTCTTGAAATATACTTGTTATAATCGATCAAAGCGCGTTCTACCTCGAGGTTTATCTCGCAATTCTCTTGATTCATCGCGAAAGTGAAGCGTTTAATCAGTTTCATGATCAAAATAGTGTAAAATCGAGTGCCACTATCTAGAAAAATTTAAATAATGAAATTAGACATTCGATTGAGAGCTTGCCCCTCATGATTTCTAGAATTATTAAAGATTACTTTCCCACTCACGTGCTCTCGACAGTAACATATATTACTTTAAGAAGTATCAATGCCAACACCTTCGCTCTACCCATCGTTCATTACTTTGGATGAGGATATTTGGAACGCCACGAAAGTGAAATAAAGGTACGCTTGGACGACCAATTTAGATATAGACGCAATTTCCGCTCACTAAACGTGGGACTTAGGATGATACAACGGAAGTGCCGTTCTCGCTAAGAGCGGTTCTCTCGACTTCCCGTCTAAAAAAAAGTTTTCCTTTATTTTTTGCAGGTATAAATCGGGCTAAAAAAGCATATCAGTGGATAGTTTATACACCAATGAGGTCACTGATTGCCTCAAACCCGCAGGTATCTCTCTAATTCTCATCCACCTACGTCTTGAAAACAACTCAAATCCATGAGTTTACTCAATTACGCACCCTTCAGAGGTCATTTGCATTATTATGAAATTCACCAAAAATCCCTAGTTGTCCTAAAATGTTGCATAAACCTGATTTATCGCAAAGCATGCAGGACCAACAAATTGAACAAAACAAAAGCGATCGAAAGACGCCTCTTCGATAATATTCAGAAACAGGTCATGAACCACGCAAAGAGTGGAGAAGATCAAAATTTAAGAATTCAACTTAGCACCCTGGTCACTACATACATACCGCGTAGCTTAAAGCTACATAGAAACAATTAAAATACTTGTATATTTCGGTGTCATTTACGAAACAATACGTGTGAACTCTGCAAGAATTCTTGCAGTTTCGACCAAGGTTTCGCACATGGAATGCAATCCTCGGACGTTCATTTCTGAAAATTTGCTGCCGTCATCAAATATTTTATGCTGTTACAGTCCACAACGTTCTTAAAGAAAGACTCAATTTTTTTTCCACTCCAACCACCCGCCTCACTTCAATATTTATGAGGGGGGTTAAGGTCACAGCATACCTCGATCCAACCCCTTCACTTTAGCTAAGGTTGTGCCTTACGCGTTTCTTTAGAGAGGAGAGTTGCCTCAGTTATTCGTTTATTTTAAGAGATTTATCCAAAAAAAAAAAGGAACTTGTCTCTTGGAAAGCAAAGATTGTGGTGACTACGGCCATTTCAGCGGAGTTTCAGCCCCGATATCTTTCCTGGAATGCCAGGACAACGTATCAAGTCATTTAAAGTACTATTGCCGATCCAGCAAAATCCTAGAGTTGGATGATTTCATGTTGTTTCGTTCCGGTCATTTTGGCCTCGAAATGGAAAAAGTAAAACAGATGTTTGTGTGTTCTAAACATCGGAACGCCTTGGGAAACATTGGAAAATTCGGTTAAAGTACTTGCCAGCATCCAGCGCACAAAGGAAACTGTGAGACAGTGAAAGGAAACCGAGTGTTCAAAGTTAGACTGGCCGGAAATGTTTTTAAAAAGTCTACGGAATTATAGTTGCAGTCCGGATCACATTAGTAATATTTTTTTTCAATTTCTAGATTGTGATGGCTAGTGTCACTAATAATTGATTGGCAAGGCCTATCTGCCTCAGCAGGGTGGGTTAGAATTGTCTCCACAAAATCATAGGACAAATTTTTGCCACGAAAAAATGTTTCTGTTTTTGCACCGGCTTAAAAATTTCAAATCTGTCAAATTTCGTCAGCGCTTGATGTGCCCATACGACTAGCCGGCATAGTTTGCCAATTGATTCAAACTTGAATTGCCAGGATTAAGCCTTTTCAAAGTTTTAAAATCCACGAGTTTCGTAAGAAAAGAATACTATTGCTAACATAGGTGGCACCTTTTGTAACAAATGATCGACAAGTTTAACACGGCTTTGTTTATTTAGCTGCTTTAGTCCAGTTTTCACCCGAGAGAAATTTTGTCGGCGGTGTGCTTGGAGATTTTCTTGCCTCAGCCAATATTTGTCTTGTCGCGACAAACCATCCATGCTTGTAAAAGGTGTTGTTGATGACATAAAATTTTTGAGATAAACAATTTTCTGCTGTTGTGGATAGGCCCTAAAAGTTTTAAAAGTTAGATCTTGGGTTATTTGCTCTTGTTACAAGTAATCAGAGAGGTACAAGAGCAAGAACAAGAACAGGGCAAAGAATGTCCGAATGAAAAAATTATAATGAATAAAAAGGAATCAACAAAAAAAATAGAGAGGGAGTAAAAGCCAATAACTTAATATTACTTCTTATCACCACTAGAACTAGTAACAAAAATTGCCTAAATTTCGTTTTGGTGTTTTAGTGTGTGACATAAAAATATACAACTTAAACAAACAAGGCATTCGTTTCAAAACTGATTAAACAACGATGATAACTGTACCGATTAAGATAACATCAGGAGAACTGATACTGATTCATAATTTATTGAATGGCTAGTAGTATCAGAATACCTTTTCTATGTACTTGTCAGCCATCTGTAGCAGCTGCAGAAAGTTACATAACGGCCGATTAAAGAATGAGTGGCTCTGGCTAAGAACATCAAGGAAAGAAAAGCGGCTTCTAGCCGAAGAAAAGAATTCTTGTGGCATATCATACTTGTCGAGGTACGTATAATGATAACTTTAAATCATATGTCAACACGCAAAAGAATTGTTATGCCGGCTTAGCGCAATTAGTCCGCATTTGTTTCACTAAAAACAGAGTTGGAACTCTCTATTAGTCTACCGACGGTGATAAATGTTATCAATTACTGACTGCCTTACCTGATTTTGACTTTTCAGGAAAGCCAAAGAGGAAGCAAAATCGGCGATGTGTTTTTTCACCAGCTGTAGGCGTCGAAATATATAACCGGGACTCCACATGGACTCCTGGGCAGGTTTTGTCAAACTATGACTCATCAGATGAAAAAAGAAGCCGATGTGCTTGTGTGATGAGGCTATGACAAGGATTGCTTCACTCATAGAACAAAAAGGTAAACCTGTTTCTGTTAGGCTATCAAAGAAATGGGAAGAGGCAGCGGCAAACGAATAATCCCTATGTTTGGATCACCTGGAAGAGGCATGTCGCACTGTTTGCAATGTAATCGCTCCAAGAGACAACGAATAGTTATTGCAAACCTTTAAGACCCCGGTAGCAAATGAAGTTTGCTCGGGTCAGCAAAAAGCTATGGTTCTGAAAATTTTCATCTAAAATCCCTAATTCAACATTTCCATTTCCGAACTGAGACCTGAGAGTTTGGAGATTCTATTGGAAAGTTGAATCAATCAATAGCCTGTAACTTGGTCTAAAGTTCAATTGCACCGTCCAAGCTAAGCGATACAATTTGTAACTTTTTTTTAAACGCCGGCAAGAACTTGTTGTGACGTTTACTCTGATGATATATAAGTATTTAAACTACTTACTTTTTAAACCAGCAGTCAATTATTGAACCTCACCGCCCTACCATATCGCTACCTTGCATCCAAAAGAAAAATTGTCGATGTTGCTAATTCATCTTGCTGGTAAGAGAATCGTTGTCATCGGTACTGACGTCAACTTCTTCATCACTGCTTTCATAAAAGTCTTTCTGGCCTTTATCAGATACACTAGCTTCCTTACTCACTTCATGCTTGTTAAGATCTTCATCTTCGTTAGCTCCGAAGTTCAAATTCCCCTTGTTACCAACTTCGAGGTGGTGTTGATAAAGAAACTCTGACAATGGTCAGTGCTTAGCCATTGTAGTTTTTCGCCACACTGTCCTTTGTCTTACTACTGCACCATATGCTGAGGCCTAATTTCGTAAGATGTCGCAGTCATTTGAAGAAAGGTTTACTACGGGTAGAGGAATCATTAATGGCACATTATCAACAGACAGCGTTGTGTCTGGCCTCGGGCCTCGGGTACCTGGACTTTCGACTGGTGTGATAGTATGCAGCCCAGCTTGCACCACTTTTCACGCTCTTTCTAGTTGCACCAAATAACCTAGCATACTCCAGACTAGACATGTTCACTTTCTTGGAATGGAAAATGGTGTGACAATCTTCAACGTCTAATGTCATACAGCTTAAAAGATCAAGCGCTTGGTTGTCATACTCTCTCAGAATGTCTGCTTGTCTTCTTTGACCCATTTGTCTATTTGTCCTTTCTCAATAAAACTGACTCGCCTTGAAACGCTCTTTTTTTTCTCTTTCGTCGATTCTCAGCCATGAGACAGACGCACATGGTAGTCAGCCATGATCTCCCTCACAGACCGCGAATTTGCAATTTATTATAGGTTTAGATATCGTGTATACTAAGTGTATCGGGACTGTAAGTCGTCTTTGAGTCTGTATCGTCATAAACGAGCCATGTATAATATATATTGGATATAGCGATTAAGCTATTGAAATGTAAATAATGACTTTGGTATACATACGGTATAGCAATGAACACCAAAACTGAAAAACCGACAAAAATTGAAAAACCGATCTAAAATATAGCCAAAACTGCAAAACCGAAAATCCCAATGCCGGTCCCCCCTCCCTCCTTTAGACGAAGCTTAGATGAATTTGTCTTTATCAATAAAAACTGTTTGCACAGAATTAATGCAAAGCGTGTGTTGAGTATCTACAGCTGTTGCTTTGCATCGGTAGGGAAGCATAGAATTAGGAAGTCGAGCATAGTTTTTCAGTGTAATAAAGTAAAGAGATTTCTGTTGTTATTTTCTTGTCTGTTTTTTCATTCATTTTCCCGCCAATTTAAAGAGAACTAGAAAAAAAATAATACAGCAGATTCAACTGCTTTTCTCTTATTCACCGTTGGAATATCGAAGTCGAATTCATTCAGTGGTCTAAATTATATTACGGTACGACAGTCGAGCAATCAATTGCAATCAGACCAAGCATTTTGCAGATACAGGAAATATGCCTAAGAAAAGGAAAGATTGCATAATTGATACGGAGATGTTAAAATAGCACAACCACTGAAAGACAAGATAATGATTTATTCATCTCTATTTGAGCGTTTACATGATAGCGGGGTGGAAATAGCGGCTACGCAGAGACACATGCCATCGATATTTTGTTTACCTCAGCTTTTTACGAATCTCAATTACGAACAATTTACTTAACAAGCATTAACATACTCAGGAGCAGGTAATTGATTCACATATTCATTGTCGCTGTCTTCTGTTGAGTTCACAAGAGAAGCGTACGTTCGGGAACCATCGTTTTCAGAAGTCTACAAAATATTCAATTTTATTTGTTAAAAAAATCATGTTATAATCGACTTGGCAGGCTTAGTAATGCTGGAAAGTACGACTGAAATCACTAATGCAAATAAAAAATTTAAAAAATTTAAAAAATTGAAAGAACCATAAACTTTGTCAAGTTAAAATTAGACATTCATTCAAATACATTTCTAGTGAAAGGTGTGTTAGATATTGCACTTAAAATTTATCGCCTTTTTTTTTTTCCAAAGGAGACCCCTTTGCCCGGCATTCCCAAAAAGATCATAATCAAACAGGTGATGTTTCAGATAGATATAAAGGAAAATAAGGACATAAACGGATGAATAATACTGGATAAATGATAATGGTAAATGGATAAAGCAATCGAACTTATATAAATATGGAAAATTTTATGTCAAAAGACCACAGTTAAGTTGCGTCAGAGTAGCAATATAAGTGCAGCGAAAGGGGCACATGAAGAGAACAAAGAGGAAAAACTAAAAAGTTTGAAAAAAGGAAGTATCACACATCCTTTAGTCCCTTTTTTTATGAGGCCCATATTGATTAACTCTAATTTCGTTATAAGGATAATTACCATCATTGACTCCGGAAACAGTTCCGTGTATACACCCTCCTGTTGGACAAGCGGTTTCCTATGGAGCCTCTCAATCCCGGTTCCACTGCCCGAAGCAAACTCTAGCCGGGCACCGACTTTCAAAACATTTAATGGCCAGCTCTCTTGAAAGTCACCTTGATTCCTGTATAAAGAAATAAACACACAAAAAGAAGAGAGTGAAAAGGTCCAGGTTCATCATTAATGACCTCTGAAAATGCAATAAGACTGATTGGCAACAAGAATGCAAACAAACTTTGAGAAGTTTAAACAACTAACAACGACCAGCACCCCACATTTATTTGCCGAAGGTTCATGAATATGATTTCTACTCAACTTAGAGAACGAACGGAGTTCCAGAGCAGAGCCATTTAAAGAATTATAACATCGTTCTATAGTAGACAGCTTGGGTGCCGTGTACTCTAATGATAGTCGATCGCCTTCGAGAAATCGCCAAATCCACTCTGGATTAAGAATGACGATTTCTGCATCGATGGGCATGAAAAACCTAGTTTCAGCCTAAAAAAAACAAATTATTTAGGCTCTTATCCACTGGCTTTTATGAAACTACAGCTGCATTATCTGTCTGGCTGGCTTTTATCACTTTTTAAAGCATAGAGCCATCTGTCTCTGCATTCTGGGTAAGTGTTCTACCCCCCTAAACAGCCGAAAACTCTTTGTTACACTTCGAAAACAAACCAAGTGAATAGAATCATTAATGTTTATGCATTGTTTAAGGGATACACTCGGCCTTGATTTACAAATGCACCAGACTGAACAAATGTCGAATAAAGGTTACACAGAAGTAACTTACATTTTGACAACTTTGTTTCTTGTGGCTAGCGGATAAAACAAAGTACCACCGTTAGAAGTAAACACAGACATAAATGACTTTTGTTTTCTTCAAAAGGGTTCAACTTAGGTTATTGAAAAAAACAAAGGAAAAAAAAAATTGGCGCCAGACTTCGGATTTGTCGGTTTATCCAGCAGCATTTTAGTGGAACACATACATGTACTTGTTACCTCGGGTGACACATCAACAACTTAGCCAGCCAAGAGGTAGTCGCGCAGTCTACTGGTAATGTGACCAACTATTTACTTTGAGCACGTCATTTAATACGTTTGTTTTACTCGGATTTGTCGTCGCGTGATTTCATGATCCTTTAAATATGATTTTTCCAGAACCAGGGGTCCTACAAGCCAGCATAGTATTGAAGTCCAGGACACTTTAGACCAGGAGGATGTAATTTATTTCTTCGCTACAACTCAGTTTTTCTTTCTCTTCTTTTTCTTATTTTGTTTGTTATCACTGCTGTTATTATATTTTTTCCACCTTTACTCACTACTCTTACTTTGATTTGACCTACTTACCAATTACATTCATATACATCTCTAGAAGTATTGTTTTCAAAGGGTCTTGATATTAGCAGGCAAGTCAAGAATTTAGAGAAACATGTGTTACAGACAAGAAAGCGACAAAAGTTTTAAGTCTGTAATACATGTTTCGACAGAAACTTCTGTCATCTTCAATCAATTTATGTCCAAATTCAACTTCCAACCCTATGTACATTAATTAACTGAAGAAGACAGAAGCTTCTCTCGAAAGATGTATTAGGGACTTAACAGTTTTGTCGCTTTCTTTAAAAACTATTGTTTAATTATTAATAAATGAGATGTTGATCAAGCCTGCCCCTAAATTGCCATGATGATGGAGATGGCTAAAAGTCAAGTTGAATTTAAAGGAAAAAGAAAACAAAATCCAAGTACCTATTTCTTGTTGTTTTTTTCGTAGCAGTATCAAAACCATGGCGAGGATGATCATCACTATAAACAACAACCCTGCTAAAATAGCGATTGGCAGATAAAGGATGTCTTTCATGAGGTCATCGTCCTTTGTCACTACTGGAACTGTGGTCGTCGGGGATGTGTGGACCGTCAACAGAGATTAAAAAATAAAAAAAAAAAAATAAAATACGAGCTGATAATTAGCTTGACCCTATTGATATAGGATAACACAAGGAAAGGAAGGGAAAGAGATAGGGGTGCTTGGCAGTCTCGCATAGGGAATCCCAAGGGTAACTCATTTGTAGGGCTGAAAAAGTTCTGTCCATCGGCCCCTACGTCTGCATGTCTCATTCTTTACTCACTACTCAAAGATTGAACGAGCTGCTTTCTGACCCCATTCAAATTAACAAACTAAAATTCATCCCAATTATGTAGAGGACATGGGGGCACATGACATTGATGCACTAGGCTAATGTTCTACAAGCTGAACTTCAGTTCTAACATGGTTCACACAAGCAAACAAAACCTTTTCACATACGTTTTGATGGTGTGTCCAGCATTACAGGATCACTTGCGGTTCCATATCCTTTGGCTGTTTTTGCTTTCACATAAACACTATATTTTGTACCAGGCTTCAACTTTTCTATACGTATCTCTGTGCTCCGAGAGCTCTTGTTTAATACTATTTCGTGGTTATGATGAAAGGAATTGTTATGTGCTCTTTTACCCTCTAAGTATACCTGAAAATCGAGGAAGATACAACATCTCACAGAAAGAGAAACAAATGAAGTGGCATTTAGAAGGGGGAAAAAAATTCGTTCAGAATTCACAGCACACACTTAAGCCTCAGGGTTCCAATGGCTGGAAATAGGCAGTGGTTATTTAATTTTCTTACAATTTCTATATGAAAGCCTACTTCTGTCATTACTGAAAAGAACATAAAAAAAATCGACTGTGGCAACCGGTGACAGAGTCTGAAATATCCAAAGCGTACTCATCCTTAAGTAAGGCATTATCTCTCAAAAATTGAAGCTTTGGATTACATGAGCACGACAACATGCATGCAAGCAGACTAGTTATCACACATTTTAATCAGCCTCGAAGAAAAGAACAAATGAACAAATTCGGATAGAAACAAACACTAAACAAAGAGAAGACGAAATAACCAACAAAGTAAAGTCAAACTCTCAAATTACGTAATATAACAATATCGCGTGCACAATTTGCGAAAATCAGCTGATTTTGTTTTTGTTTTTGTTTTTTTTTGTGGTCTATCTTTGTTGTAGTCGTGGCTGTTGTTGGGGGTCTCACTTGACTAGTGAAAAAAATCTTACAAGGTTACAAGATAATTCTCAGCTAAGACTGAAATGTAACCTTGCACGCTTCGAAACCATTAGTACGCCTATTTATATAGTTTAGAGTTGATAATAAATAGATTTTTGCAGCGTAGCTCACCGTGTATATGATGATAATTCCATTGTGGTTTTTAGGATCCTTCCATGTAACAGTAGCAGAAAGTTCAC